CTGCAACTGAAATACAGCCAACAAGCTTGCTCCAGAGAATGGCCTGAAGGCCATGATGTAAGCTCTGGTTACTATGGAAGCTAAACAGGTTTGGTAAACTACTAGAGTGAGAGATCACCTGGGAGATCTAACTAAGCCAGTTATGAAACTTCAAAAAGTAAATGTCCCCACACATGGAGCATTCCAAGGATTACGGTTTCACTGCTGTGGCTAAATTTAAGTCAAGTAAGTAGGGCTGCCAACCCCAGGTTGGAAAATATCTGGAGATTTGGGGAGGGGAGGGAACTTGGCAAGCTATAATGCCATTGAGTCCGCCCTCCAAAGCAAGACATTTCCTCCAGGGGAACTGATCTCCGTAGTATGGAGATCAGTTGTAAACCCAGGAGATCTCTAGGCTCCACCTGGAGGTTGGCAACTCAGGAATTTCGAGTCACACATTGAATGCAGTTCACCATTGGGCACTGGCATGGAAGGTGATCTTGCTTATCTGCACAGGCAGTAACGCTTCCTAAGATCAAGTGTGTGTGTGTGTGTGTGTGTTTCCAGATCATATTGGTGAGTGCATTCAGTGTGTGACTTGAAATTCCTTCTCTCAACCGAAAGTCAGGCCAAGAAAACTTTCTGTTTTCATTAAGTTCTGCAAAGCTCCTATTAAATGAGCAAATGTGCTCTGTCAACTGGGGATGCCAGCCACCAGTTGGGACCTGGGGATTCCCTGGAATCACAGCTCATCTTCAGACTACAGAGATTAGTTCCCCTGGAGAAAATGGCTGCTTTGGAGAGTGCACTCTGTGCACTGTACTCCACTGAAGTCCCTGTCCTATCCAGACTCCACCCCTAATTCTCCAGGGGTTTCCCAACCTGGAACTTGCAACCCTACCCCCCCCACCTCCCGCTAGTGGCCAGAGGGAACTGGCAACCCTACTTTCAAGTTATTTGTTACTTGTTCAAGATTTTAAGAATGTTGTTTTCAACATATAACAATGTTAGACTGTAGCAATATTTAGAACGCAATCACAAGACACTGTAAATTATATTGACTCATATAATTTGTTAATAAAACATATAATAAAAATAAATGGCTCCTCAAATATAATTTTCTTAGACACTGAATTTATTGGGTTGGATAATGTGATCAGCCCAGTTAAAAAGGCGTCATGTCTTCTTCTTTTCCGGCCTTAAATCTGTCTCCCAGACAAATTGGAAAATGGCCTGTTTGGGTACTAAATGTTTAAGGTGAGGGGTGGCCGAGCATAAAGATTTCTATGATGCACAAGGCTCTACTATAGAAGCTTTTACTGCTGACAGCCAGTGCGGTGTAGGGTTGCCAGGTCTGACTCAGGAAATATCTGGGGACTTTGGGGGTGGAGCCAGGAGCAAGGATGTGCCATAACTTTTGTGATGTCACTAGGGTTGCCAGGTGAGGCCAGCAAGCCAGAAGGGAGTTCTGGCCGTCACATTTAAGCATCCCTTTTAAAAGCATTCCTTTTAAATACTTTCCCTCTATTGGAAATAATGGAGGAGGGGGCACCTTATTTTGGGGGCTCATAGAATTGGACCCCCAGTCCAATCTTTTTGAAACTTGGTGGGGGTTTTCCAGGAGTGGCACCACCAGCTATGCTGAAAATTTGGTGCCTCTACCTCAAAAAACACCACCCCCAGAGCCCCAGATGCCCACAGATTGATTCTCCATTATACCCTATGGGGACCAGTCTCCATAGGATATAATGGAGCACCCAGCAGCCATCCCCTCCCCCTGCTTTCTGACAGCCCTGTAGCAGAGGGAGGGGCTCCAAACCAGGGGATCCTCTGCCCCCAACTGAGGATTGGCAACCCTAGTGCAGTATAGTAGTTGGAGTGTTGGACTAAAACATGGGAAGCCTAGGTTTGAATCCCTACTCTGCCATGGAAGCTTGCTTGGGTGACCTTGGGCAGTCAACTAGGTATGCCAGGCTCCCACCTGGCACCCCCAGGAGGATCTGGTGAGTAGGGACAGAAGTGGCAACTTCATACCGCCATGCAGTACCACTTCCAGTGAAAAACCAGAAGTGGCGTCATGATGTTAGGGTGACAATCTAGGATTCGTCAAAAACTATATGGTTAAACCATAGAGATTTTGGTGACAATCTAGGATTTGTCAAAAACTATATGGTTAAACCATAGAGATTTTGGCAAATCTTTGTGTGTCCACCCCCAGTGTGAAACCAAAAGTGAGGTCACACACTGGCTTGGTGTGGCAGTTCCCTCCCCACATCTTCCCCTTATCCACCGCCCGCCTGCCAGCCTTTGAGGTCCCAGCAAGCAATGGAGAGGAAGCCCAGGATGTCCGGCATCCCTATCTGTCACTCATTTTCTAAATAAATAAAATGTGTGGTGATTTGCTATGAGTTTTCAGTACTGCAGAAAACGTGTTCTGCACATTTACACTGTTTTGTTAACTGTTTCATTGCACGTTCCAGACTGAAACAAGCCCAGGGCTGAAATTAGCCATGGGGTAGAAGAAAAGAACACACACAAAAAAGGCTGGGCCAGTTATATGTGTAGTATATCGGTTATGTCCTGCATCTGTTGAATTTCTATAAGAGAGGGATTCCTGAGCAAACTAAGCTAGAGTTCATTTATCAGCCTGCAAAAATCTATATCCATCTGCTTGGATGATGCACTGGAACTGGTCTGACTGAAATGCCAAACCACTACAGTGCTATTCAGTGACTGTTGTAAAGATTGCTACCTATTTGCTCAGTAACAAATGTTTATTGTTTGATAGATCAAATATACCTACAAGGATGTTTATTTCTTCCAAATAGTTCAATACATATTTCTAGTTTCCTTATAGTCATCCACACGATGGGCCACGTGAAATTGATCCAGCAGTAATTGCTGCTCATGGAGGGGATTTCTGTCCCTAGCATGGGACTGCCTTGCCCTCCCCACCACCACCACAGCTTGAAAGGCTCCCCAAAATGCTGCTGCTGCAAGGCCAGGGGACCCATAAGGAATTGCATGAGGGTTGAGCTGAGGGTCTGCAGTTCAGGCAGAATCTGCAAAAACCCTTCCTTCTGTTTGCGGAAATTCCCTGCTGTATATGAAACTTACACTGGACGAATCGTGAAGATAATCAAGTACACGGCACAGTTAACATTGTTGGCCATAGTATTTCAGTGCTAGTTCACCCATCCTTAGCAAAATTTTCTCTTTTCTTGTAGAGATCTTAAATAAGCTCCTCAACTTACTGGCATGGCTGAAAACTGTACATTTTACTGTGCAACCAGTAAGCTTAGACAGGAGTAACTCTGCACAGTTTTAAGTAAATCACAAGCACATTGCATTTAGTATTTTCATGTTTTTGTGTTTTTGTTTCATTATTTTGATTTATATCCCGCCCTTTTGGCAAGCGGGCTCAGGGCAGCTCACAATATGGTACAAATGCAACGTTCTGGAACAGAGCAGAATAAGAGCCATTTCACCCTGACAGGCAGAAAAAAGACCACAAAAGTATGTATAAAAAAATCTGTGATTGCCTGCTTCCCCCCCCCCCCCCCAGCAGCTTTGGAAGGTGGCAATTATGAGCAGAGGAGCAGGTATTTAACCCTTTCTTACCTTGAGGGAATCCAGAAGCATGTTTGCAAAGGTACACATGGCTGGGACCCCACAGAGGAAAGACTGTATGGGACAGGCAAGAAAAGATTAATTGCCCTTTCTCCTCCCATTGTTTGCCAACTGAAAACTGCTTCCTCTCAGACTTGTCTACATACCTGCATGCTACATATACTTTGGTCTGTTAGAGGACATAGTCAACTTCAAAGAATTATGCCGTCTCCCCAAAGGATAGCCCTGCTATATTTGTTAGTTTGTTTAAAGCATTTGTATGTCACCTTTAGGAGCTGCGGTGGCTCAAGTGGTTAAGATGCTGAACTGCAGGCTGTGGAAGGTTGGTAGTTCAGCAGTTCGAGACCTGAGTGTGCTGCATGACGGAGTGAGCTCCCGTCTCTAGTTCCAGCTCCTGCCACCTAGCAGTTCAAAAGCAAGAAATTGCAAGTAGATAAATAGGTACCACTTCAGTGGGAAGGTAACAGCGTTCCGTGCGCCTTGGTGTTTAGTCATGCTGGCCACATGAGCACGATAATGTCTTTGGACAGCGCTGGCTCTTCGGCTTTGAAACGGAGATGAGCACCACAACCCTAGAGTCGGATTCGACTGGCTTTCGAGCAAGGGAACCTTTACCTTTACCTATGTCACCTTTCCACCAAAACAGGGTCCCATATTTGAAACCAAGGGGTACTTAAAGATCACAGTGGTGAGCATTCCACCCAAACAGTATAATATGGATATATGCCACAGGGAGCTCCCACTGTGTGACGTGGCCATAACCAAGAATCCCAGGAAATATAGTTCAGATGCCAAATTAAGCCCAGTTTGTTCCAAGCATGGAACCCATACGTTAGAGGGGAAATCTCAATAGTAACTTGTATTTAAGCAGTTGAGAGCACTTAACACATGATTAACAGTAGGGAATGTTGAGGGAATGTTCTTATGAACTGTACTGAATACAATCATGGTCCGTTCTGTCTCTGCTGTTTGATCATCTACCAGGGAAGGCTATCAAGAGGAAGTTCTGCAATACTGGATACATACTATTTAGCCATACTGGCCTACCCAACACATTTTACCACCATTACACAATCCAAGGAGTACGCCTATGTTTATACTATCAGGCCTTTAAAAACTGTGACCCAAAGACAATGTTGGTGGCTTGGGCTGCCAAGAGGCCAGTTCTGCTAAGATGGCTGTTTAATGGTTTGATCTCAACTCTGAATTGCCACAAAACATCCTCCCTTCCTAGAAAGACGCAGGCATGCTCCCCAATGAGTTTTCAGACATTTGAGAAGCAATTGTGCATCACTGTAGGGTTATATGGCTGTTAAGCCTGCAGTCTTTTTATTGTTCAGGATATAAATCTAATCCGTGAGTTAATGTCTGAAACTTGTGTTATTTTACAGTAGCAAAATGCCTGTGTAATGGAGCAAGAGCTTGTAAACCGAAGGACACTTGCCAGGTAGGTACAGCACATCTTTATGTGTCCAGCACACAGACACACTGCCAGGGCCCCCCCCCCCAAGATCCAAAACAGGCCTCCTTCTCACGTCACCAAACCCCCATGCAAAGATCATATGGAAACCAACTGTATGACATGCCCAGCTCCAAAGGTCTGCAGGATAGCAACCACAGCCCCTGGAACTGTCCCCTCATCTCCCCCCTCCTCCCCCCCCCCCCCCCCCGCCTGTACACTGCTACAAGATCCTTGCCATTGAGGAAAAGGGACAGTTTGACCTCACCACAAAATGCATCTTTCTTCTCCTCATACAAAATGATGGCAACCATTTATCTGTACAGGAAACATTAAGAGGTGCAGTCATGGACAGTGTTCCCTCTAAGCTGAGTGAGTGTGAGCTAGCTCACAGTTTTTTAGCCTCTGGCTCACACATTTTTGTCTTAGCTCAGGAAGGATGGCTCCAGAGCAAACTAATTCATACAGCAGCCAAATCGCTCGCTCACAGCTTTCATGCCAGTAGTTCACAAAGTAGAATTTTTGCTCACAAGACTCCAAAGCTTAGAGGGAACATTGGTCATGGATACTGTTGGGGTTGGGGGTTAAAGATGCTTCGTGTGATACAAATATGCGGTCATACCATTGATCCATTTGGCCGGTATCTTCTATTCTGAGTGGCAGCAGCTGTCCAGCCTTTCAGGCAGAGAAAAGTACTTGCTATCTGAGGTCCTTTAGCAGGTGATACTGACTCCGGGACCTTCTGCATGCAAAACAGGCTCTCTTCCATTTCCTCCAGGAGAACTTACCTATGCAATCTGGAGATCGGTCCTCCTAACTCCAGAAGAACTCTAGGACCCCTGCAGGTTGGCAACCCTGGTTACAACTGATCTCCGGGCTACAGAGATCGATTACCGTGGAGGAAATGGCGGCTTCCAAGGGTGGACTCTATGGCATCACATCCCCATTGAGCTCCCTCCTCTTCCAAAACTCTGCTCTTCCCAGGACCCCCCCCCAATCTCCAAGAATCTCCTAACCAGCGTTGTCAACACTAGTAGCTACTGCAGAACAGACCCAATGTAGTTCTATCAATAACAATCTTCAATAAATGGCATAAAAAGTGAGAGGTACAGTTTGGTGTAGTGGTTAGGAGTGCGGACTATAATCTGGGAGAACCGGGTTTGATTCTCCACTCCTCCATGTGCAGCTGCTGGGTGACCCTGGGCAAGCCACAGTTCTCTCAAAGCTGTTCTCTCAAGAGTATAATTCTTTCAATTATCATAAGACAAGCAAATGGTATAATGAGTTTTTGGCTTATCTTTAAATGTATTTAAAATATTTGTTGATAATCATAAAATTGATGCTTGTTACTAGTACTCCTATATATATAATTTTTAAGAAATATATTTTTGAACATCCAGCTATGTACAATGTGACATGATTCACGAATGTTGATGAAAAATGATTATTTATAATAACTTGCTTGTAATAAAAGTTATTTTGCATTTTAAAAAGAGCAGTTCTCATAGAGAGCTCTCAGCCCCACCTACCTCACAGGGTGTCTGTTGTGGGGAGAGGAAGGGAAGGAGATTGTAAGCCGCTCTGAGACTCTGAGTGAAGGGCAGGGTATAAATCCAGTTTCTTCTTCTCCTCCTCATCAGTTTTTACATGCCAGTTTCCTCAGGAAAGTAAGTTCAACAGCCTCTCAGAAGGCTACAAGCAACATTCCAGCACTGGAATTACCACCTTTCCTTGCCCAACTTCTGGGCTTCAACTTCCATTCACCTGGTTCAGTAACGTTTACCTTTCCCCTGTTCCAGTTATTATCACTGCAGGTTTCCCAGGTGCCTCGAGTAGAAGCTTTGTGAAACAGCCTTGTAACTGATATAATCATCCTCAAGGAGCCAAACAAGTTTTCTTCAACAGTGTGCATTAAAAAGTGACACACCTAGGGCAAGAATTTAACATGTGTGTACAGCTCTTTGTCCTACCTGATTGTAAGGATTGGCATAAAAAAACCCTTTTCTGCTGTTCAGCTGCCAAATGCCAGATGTTCAAAACACAGGACGTACAGTAAATGGCCAATATCAGAAGAAATTTCACAATCCCAGCCTAGACTGGGAAGAATTCCAGGGGCAGGCCTGAGAAGTGCCATATCATTTCCCTGCCGACATGACAGGGCAGCCCAACTCCTTTGTATCTCACCATGCCAAGATAAGCAACCTACTATTTCGGCAATGCATTTTCCCCAACACCTTTCACAGAAGTGGAAGCAAAACTCTTGTCATTTAGGCCTGCATGAGCCCTTGCAAGAAGTTCCTTTTGCCTAATGCATCTTTCACCCAGCTAAAAAGACCTCTCATTTTGTTCCCTTGGAGAATTAGGTTAGGGGGATTTGTGCCAAAGAAATGATTTCATTATTGGACAGGGTTGCTAGGGAGTTAATGGGATGGTGTGGAAATGCTAGATGGCTAATAAGCTAAGCAGAATTTATAATGGCAGGTACAAGAGGGAAGCCTGTGGAACTAGATCCTGGGTGAAAATAAAATGCAAAAAGGATGAAACACAAGTTATAACGGAACACCAGAATTGCCAGTGTGTACAAATGCTGAAAACATAATAGACTGTGCCAAACCTAGTCGCCGACAACCCTCCCCCAAAATGAAAAAGTCTCAAAATCACAATAGTAGAAGTCACTAATAAATATTACCATAGAAAGAAATCTGGTTTCTCCAGTTGGCTGCAAGCTGGACAAAAAGTGCGTTGAATCCAGACTAAACTAGCAATTTTTATCAATTTCCCTTTCCCTCTGTAGGGACTACACACACACACACACACACGTTACTCTTTACTGCCCTGTCCCCCAGAAGCAGTATTTTATGGAGATAAGTGAGCTTCAGGGAGAAGGGGAAGGCAGGAAAGCACATATCCATCGATGGAAAATTTAGTCTGGATGCAACTCTGAATAGGCAAACCTTTAGTGCAGGGGTCCCCAGCCTTTCTGATCCTGTGGGCATCTTTGGAATTCTGACACAGGATGGTGGGCGCAACCACTAAGAGGCTGCTGTGGGAAGTGGAGCCATGCATACACCCAGAGAAAGTCCAAATGCCGGGGAGAAGAAGGGTAATTTTAAAAATGCACTGGGAAAGAGGAGTGACAGAATAAAACTAATGCAAGTAGCAGCAGCTGCTGAAGCAACATTATTTTAATCTGCACAGCCATTTGGATCTCCAATAACCTATCAGAAGCCGTGTTGGGCAAGAGTTCCACCTGGCTCCACCTGCTTTCTGAAAACACTTGGTGGGCACCAGGTCAGGTGTTGGCGGGCACCATGGCACCCATAGCACCACGCCGGGGACCCCTGCTTTAGTGTGCTAGCAGATAGGGAACTTCTAAAGATGAGGAATGGCATATATAGTGAAAATATAAAATCAGGGAATAGGGAAAGGTGAAACAAAGTTTGAAATATATATTTAAAAGGCTTGGGAGGAAAGCTTCTCTTTTCCCTCTCACACTGTTCCTTCCTTTGGTATTAAAAGGATAATGCTAAATCCTGCCTGTAAAGGTAAAGGTAAAGGTTCCCTTGCTCGAAAGCCAGTCGAATCCCACTCTAGGGTTGCGGTGCTCATCTCCGTTTCAAAGCCGAAGAGCCAGCGCTGTCCGAAGACGTTTCTGTGGTTATGTGGCCGGCATGACTAAACACCAAGGCTCACAGAACGCTGTTACCTTCCCACTGAAGTGGTACCTATTTATCTACTTGCAATTTCTTGCTTTCGAACTGCTAGGTTGGCAGGAGCTGGAACTAGAGACGGGAGCTCACTCCGTCATGTGGCAGGATACCCTACAACCTGTAAGTCTGAACTCTTAACCTTGGCTGTGTGGGGCTGATGCATTTCTAAGTACTGAATGGGACACACTGAACATGGTCAGAAGAATTCACACCTCATGCTCCAGTTCTAGACATTGGCAACCGGGTTCCACAAACACTCCATCATTCCCTGATGTCCAGTAGCTTTTAAAAATGGTATTGCTACCACTTGGTGTAAAAGATTCTAGAGCAGATGAGAATACCCTGCCATCCACTGTTGTAGAAGAAGGAAATGTACCCATGTTCATTTGTCTCTCTCCCCCATAGTCTTAGGCATCTCTCCCATACACCTGCTGTAGCAAACTGGACTTCCATTCTACCTCACCGCAAGCTGTGAAGGAGCTAAGGGTCTGATGAAGTTTATAGGTCTGAAGGCTCAGCAGCTGTTAACAGTTTGTGTCGGACTCCTTCAGAGCTTTTAGAGATCAGGCCTCATAGCCAGGTTGACAGCTGGCAGCCCAAGCACTGCAGAGTTTCGAAGGTGACAGTGTTGCAACTTCTAAAGAGGTTTGTTGCCTCCGGAAACCTAGATACTAAAAGTGGGGAGGATGGAGTTTCTGTGGTCAACCAAACAGCAGTGGCCCCAGTCTGAGAGCAAGAGAGGTCTGCTCTACAACTCTTTAGTCACTTTAGTCCTGGTCATAAGATTTTGCCCAGGATTATGTTTTCTTCATGCAATATTTTCACAGCAATATTGACAAATTCAGCGTTCACTGCGATCCCCTTCAACTGTGATTGGAATGTGCATACTGTGGAGGGAGTAGAGTTGCCAGACTCCAGACCAGGCCTGGAGATCTCCCAGAATTATGACCGGTCCCCAGACTGCAGAGATCAGTCCCCCTGGAGGACATGGCTGCTTTGGAGGGTGGACTCCATGGTATTATACCCTGCTGAGGTTCCCCTCCCCTGGCTTCACATGGCAACCCTGCTAAAATGCAGATTTACCTTGCTTCTTTTCTTTGGCCCCCTGAGCCATTCAGGAAATGTCTCTGTTTCTCCTCAGAATGAATTTACACAATGGTTTTACTGTCACCGTGCAGCACACACCTGTGGACTCTGTGGTTGTGAAAACAACTCTGAATATTACTGAGGACTTCTCCCATGAGGAATATGAACCGACTGACATGTAGCCTGAACTCACACTGAACCCACCAAAAGGCCAGGACACATGGCTAATCGCTACAAGTTTAAGCATCTGAGAGTGACTGGGGGTCACTCTCCGGGGAGAGTGAAAACGGTTGGCGAGAAAACGGTTGGAATGGCTATGCTAACATATCCTAGCTCTCTCTTCCCACATGTATAGGGTTGCCAAATGTCCCCCCCCCTCTCTCTTTTTTGGTGTCTATTCTCTTTTGGGCTCTTTGTAAAAAAAAAAGATGAAAATGTCCTGTTTTGGGGTTGGAAGATCAGGAATATTCCTAGTTAATGGCAATGATCACAGCTTGAATAGTAGGGGTATTTAAAGTGAGGTTTGTCATACTGATCACTTGTTTGAAGTAGTCAGTCTGACTCTGGAAATAGGTCCTCTTTTTTGCTGTTCAAAATATGGTAACCCTACACATGCATCATTTGTTTTCCCGTGATCTTCTCCCACTCCCTTCTATATAGAATATGACATTCTTCCCATCAGCAAGTTCCCAAGAGCAAATTACTGTGTATTTTCGTACCCTGATTTCCCCCCCCCTCATACTTGGACAGTCGCTTATCTGCTAGGACTGTAGCTAGTTTTGAGATTTAATCCAGTTCTTTACATCAGTGGAATGCTGCCTCTTTTGCAAGAGGTGTAAGAACTCTGCAACCAGAAGCCAGGATGGTAATTAATGCCTGGAATCCTATGTGACAGCTTGGCTGCTTACACTCAAGCCATCTGCTTTTTTGGCAAGCTGCCTCTTTTGCAAGGTGATCTAACTTTACAGTGATCCAGAGAGGAGCAATGTGAGAGGGAAAAAAATCATTTGTCCTTCCTTTGACATAAAGTATATCCATCCAGTCAAACTTTTCTCGCTTTGTTCATGCCACTAGATTTGCTGCGTGACACCAGCAAGCCTAAACAGTTCATACTGCCATAGTATATATGTTATAATTAGGACCCCTAGAAACTGGTTGAGAACACTAATCTGTCATCAGCCATGTTTCCAGACATTATGCTAGAACAAGCCTCTTACTGAGCCTCTGCTCAGTAAACAAAAAGTCCTTTATCTGAATTTTTCGTTTACTGATCAAATATGGAACACCACTGAAGACCTTAGCCAAGGTTATAACTGCCATGACAAACTTCAAATGCGAAGCAGAAACAATGTGGCATAGTGGACAGAGTGCTAGCCATGGAGCAGGGAGATCTGCGTTCAAATCCCTTACTGAAGGCCATTGCATCCATGGCATCAAAACCAAGTTCGCCACTGAGGGTATATTTCCCCGGAGAGATGCAAATGGTCATCTAAGAAGTGTCACCTGTACACTAATACTGGCACAAATGTATTTGTTGCATTTGCACTAACTTGTTCACATTTCAAAGCATAAAATGTATTTGCTGTGCAGTGCAGACTGTCTTGAAGTCTCTGCCTTGCGTGTTTGTTTAAAACTTTTACAGCCCACCTTACCCCCCTCAGACTCAAGGCAGCCAACAATGCAACACCAGATTGCAAGGACACAAAACATAACAATCCAATTAACTCAATTAAAACATGCACAGATTAAAAACCACATTGAATTTAAAAAAACAAACACAGTCATAATCAATCAAAACAGTTTGCCTTCCACCAAATGCTCTCTGGAATAAAACTGTCTTGCACATCTTCCTAAACACAGCAAGTGAAGGCACTCTTTGCACTCACTTGGGTAGGCCATTCCAGCCAGTGACCTAGCTGTTGCCATACAATCTTAAAAGAGGGGCACCAGAAAGACAAAACTGTCAAGAGCATAGCAGGAGTGTTCTTTTGAGAAAAGTGGATTACAAATGAAGTGATTCAATTAAAGAATAGGCACACTGGTCAAGGCTCTACAAACATCAAAAAGAAGATAATCAAAATAGATTTCTAAAAACTGAGATTCAAGAAGTGACATAGGGTGACTCTAGGAATCACCAGAAGTTCTATAATTTCACCATAGACTTTCTGTATTCCTAGAGTTACCCTATGTAACTTCCAGGTTTCTCCCCCCCCCCAGAAGTGGTATAGCAGCACTTATGATGCTGGTGGGCTTTTTTTCTTTTCTCTTGCCACTGCTCAGAGTGGCAACAGCCAGAGTTCATTTCGGGGGGGATTGCGGGGGATCGCAGTTCCCCCGGGTGAGGTACGGGGGGGATCATGACGAAGCCCAGCCCCCTGCTTCCGGCTGCTCCGCTTCCGGCCCTCATTCAGCCAGGAGGAGGCAGGAGAAGAGGGAGGGTAAGTTGCTTCCTCCCTGCCTCTCCCCACCCCTGCCTGCCTGGGGCCAGGGAGGGCCTTCTCGGGGCTTCCTTGCACTCCCACCGGCCTTTTAGGTCCACCGCCGGGCCCCTCATGGGGCTCAGCAGTGGAGCTGCAAGGCCGGCGGCGGCCGGGACCGTTGGGGGCGGGGTGTGTGGCCTTATGACACACTTCCAGTGATGTCAGGGGGTGTGGCATATGCTAATGAGTTATGCTAATGAGTACCCCTAGCTCTTTTTCTACGAAATGACCCCTGCAACAGCAACTAGGGCAAAAGAACTGGCAGCCTTGAAACAAACCATGCAATAGGACTAGGGCCGCAAAAATTCGAAACAATGCAAAAAAAAAAGTCATAAACAATGCAAAATAGATTTACAAAAGTAAAACAATGCCGTAAGATATATAAACACACATATTTTATATATTATATAAACAAAATCAAGCTGTTGGTCTATCTAATCCAGTATTTTATATTCTGACTGATAGTGGCCCTCCATGAGTTTGAGGCACTAAGAACTCTTTAACTTGAGATGCCAGAAACTGAACCTAACCTACCTCACAGCGTTGTCATGAGGATAACATGGAGGAGAGGAGAACAATGTAAGCCGCTTGGGTCCCCATTACGTTTTTTTTTACTTACAATAAAAACATGCTTAAACCATTAGCACCCTGGAAATATTTGGTTTATTTAACAGTGTCTGATAACTGATACCTCTTGCTCTGAATTATTGCATCAAAATGTCTGTGCTGTTGCAATCTTGATTATGCTGTTCAAGTGTGTATCGGTACGCTGCAACCTACTTTTGATTGATTGAAAATCACTACAGAAATCTCATGCTCAGAGTTCTGAGTCTAGGACCTAGAGGAAAACATGAAATGGCCAGGCATTGCGGGCTTTTGCTTGTCAAGAAAATGAGAAGGCACCAGTCCATGACACAGACTGAGGGCTATGTGTTTGTCTACAAAACTACAGTCTTCCTCAGTGGTCAGTATCAGTCTACTATCTGGGAATTCTGAATTCAAAATCCCCCTCCAAAATGTGCTGTGTGAACTTGGTCTGCACACACTCTCAGCCTCATCCACCTCACTGGCTTGTTGTTATTCTTCATCCAAATAGTTCACATTGCTTTCCTACTGAGCAAGATTGGATCATGAGGGCATGAATACAGTGGAAAGAGGGAGGGAACCCAGTTGCACCCTGGAGAGCCACAGCATAACAAGCCCAACAAAACACACACACTGTAGCAAGGCACACAACAGCTCATACCTTGGATAAAACTTTGTTGGTGTTAAAGTTGCTTTGTATTTCTCCCTTGTGATTGAGGCAGCCAAGTAAAGCAAGCTCTCCCTCCTTCCCTCCCTTGGGGAGGAGCCTCAGCCAATGGAAGGGAAGAAAGGCTTGCCTTTCTCTTCTGTGTGACTGAGGCAGCCTGGCCAGGAAGCAAGCTCTAGCTAATTCCCTCTCTCCTCCGGGGAGGGGGAGGGGGAGGAGCCTCAGCCCTTGTAGGGAACAGAAGCTTGCCTATCTAGCTCTCCTGAGCAATTAAGAGTCGGGTGAAGCAAGCTACGATGCAGCAGCAGAACTGGAAGCAGGAGACAGTCAATTCCACTGCAGGCCTGATAGAAGCCCTCCAGGGGCCTGATCTGGCCCACGGACTGCACGTTTGACACCCCTGCCTTAGCTGCCAGAGGTAGCTAATTTTGTAACAAAAGGCCAGTGAAAATGCAAACAAAGACACACATTGAGAACATCAAAAGCCATGATACTTAAAGGAATACAACCATGGTAGGGAAGGATCATGTCTTTCTAGCAAAGTTAGAAACCAAAGACATCATTTCCCCTCAATGTTACTGTGACAGGCTGTTTCTATCAACTGAGGGGGACTCATACAGCCTGTCTCCCTAAGGCAGAATTCAACTCAACTCCTGTAGTGTTTCCCTCCAACATTCCATCCCTGTTGTCAAAGGTGATTGGATGCTGGAGTAGCACTCCTATAGGCTTGAGTGAGTTCAGGGGTGTCACAGTTAGCTTTATACATTTTGCTTATCATGAATGATGACTTGTATATCAGTATTTTTTTTGCCATTATGGCTCTTTTAATTCTTGTTACTGCCAGCTTAATTTGAAACTGCCAAGACCTTTTCCATCAAAGTGATTCCCCAGCTAAAAAAAGAGTTCCACAAACTGGTTGTGTGTAACAAGAGTACGTATTTAGGACAACTGGCTAGGTTTTTTTAAGGGCCATATAAAATATTGATAATTTGGTGTCCCATTTATTACCCAAATTGCAAACCAAACTGTTCCTTTGGCAGTCTTGGGGCTTTCTACTTGATGTTCACAAGAGAAATCTCTAACATTATCTAAATTAAAATCTCGCCCTATTTAAATGAGACTCTTGAGCTGTGATCTTTAAATCCATCATATTGTAACTTCTGTCTAGCTTCCCCAACTCTTGGTTTCATGGACTGATAGCTTCTCAATTGTTTAGCGAAAATGCAAATTAACGTTTTCAGTAATTATATTGCAA